GACATCAAAAAAGTTGAAGGAAACCATCCCTACCACATTTCATGTTACACAAGAAACGTGATCGTACTGGTATAAAATAATAATATATCCAAAAATTTTTTGGCAGACTAAGTGTACATGTCAGCTGATTGTCAGTCACTTATGTCAATTGTTTATTTATCAATTGGCTCGTATAAAAATTTGCATTTGGTGATTCAAGATGCGTTTTGCATTGATAAACTAGGTCACACCAAACTTTTAATAGTTTTATTTTATAGCAAGGTTTTTAAGTACTGTAAACAATAATTTGAACGCCAATGACGTCCATTAGCCACTCGGCTAACGGATATTAAAAAACAAAATAACTAAATAAGAAAAATATTAATTGATTAATAAAATTAATGCTATTTCATAAATTTTGACTATGTTTTTTCACTCTTTATCATAGCAACAATTAAGTCTAATTAAGTCTAAACTAATGAATTTTAACTCATATAAGATATTGATATATGTAATAGGAGATGTAGAATTTGAATCCTTAGCTCCGGTAAAGTTACACCAGTGTTCATTTTTTACTTCTGACATTTATGCTACCTGACATACCCCCACCGCAGTGTAAATCACAGAAAAATCCGAATTTTGACGGTAAATCTTTAGTGATTGTTAATGTTGCACTCTTGCCAACTTTATCGGTTCGGGGTAGGATTACTGTTTATCATAATGAGTTATTATATAATGAGTTTGTGTGAGAAATTTATACTGATAAAGACAAAGATGGATAAGAATGATGGATATTTACCAGGATGTTTAATTTTTGCAGATTTTACGCAGCTGTTAGGTTTGTCCGATAGAAAAACGCCGTGTAAGCCGGAGACTAATTTGAATATGATCTAAAGGTTGATAAAAGAGAACATTATATTAAACTAAACACATTATTTCTTATTTACAAGGGGCCTCAAAATACTTACCTTATCATTTACTTTTACATTAAGTACTGACGGAGAAAAAGTATTATCATCATCACTGCCAACCGTAACCTTGTGTACTGTGGCAGAAATAACAGTAGCCAAGACGACTAATAACAAAGCTAAAGGTTTAACATTTAATCGAGCCATTTGTTTGTTTTTAAAGAAAAAAAAATATAGAAGTAAAGGATGATTTTTTGAAAGTAAAATTGGTTTTCATGAATAAAAGTTTTTTTTTTGTTTTTTTTTATCGATGTAAAAGCAATTGGGCCGTCAATTTATACTAAATTCCAGACATATCTTAGTT